CTTTGAAAAAAAATCAAAAGATAAATATGTAAAAATACATGGAGAAAAACATGGTGAATGTAATAAAGACATACTAGTGAACTTTTTATATTCTAAAAAAATTACATGTCTTGAGATGCGAAGACATTTAGACATTAGATCATAACACCTATACCCTTTGTATTCTAAATCATAACCTAAAAAATAACACAATCTAGCTTTAGGTTCAAGTTTAATCCTTTTATGAGTAGAAAGTAAAACAAAACAAATACATCCAAAAACTTTGAGAGAATGATAATTAAGTACCTTATTATATAGACATTCTTATGGAGATTATGTGCCTAATACTAGTGTGGAAACATGATTAATAATGTAAAAGTAATGAGCAGTTTCACCCCAAAAATGTTTAAGAAAGAAAGATGAAATAAAAAAGGCACGAACTGTGTCAAGAATATGATGATATTTTCTTTCTACTCGACCATTTTGTTATGAAGTACATGGGCAAAACCTATAAGGAAGAGTCTCATCATCTTTTAACAAGTTATAAAACTTAATTTTGTATATTCAACAGCATTGTCAAACGTAAAAAATTTTTTTAAAAAAATTGAGTTTGTATCGTGTTATTGAATTCACGAAAATGAATAAAAGTTTAATCCTTTGTTTGAATAAATATATCCAAGTATAACATGAGAAATCATCAATTAATATGGTAAAATAACATGAACCTCTTAAGGTTAGTGTGGGAGCTAGACCCCAAATATCAGAATGGACTAAATCAAAATGAGTAGAAGAGATAGAATCACTTTTATTAAAACGTAACGCACTTTGCTTTCTAAGTTGACAAGATAAATAATAAAAAATATTATGAAAAATATTACCTAAGATACCAATGGAAGCAAGTTTATTCGAGAAATAGATGCATGTTATAGGCTAGAATGCCATAAATCTAAAGATATTGAAAAGTTGGTTATAGCAGTAGTAAGCAAATGTTGTGGAATTTTCAAAGTTTCAAGCTCAAACAATGTTCTAACCTTACACCTTGTCCCAACTTTTTGACTTATTTGAGGATCCTACATAATACAGTCATATCGTTGTGAAAAATGCAAATTAAGACCAAAATCACAATATTGGCCAACAGAAAGCAAATTTAAAGAAGATTAGGAACAAGGTAAATGTTAGATATACATAGTTTTACGATTTCGATATTACTAATGTGACTAGCTTTTAAAATAGATCCATTTGCTATTTTAATAATTAGACCATTAGGTATAGGTATCTTGCTTTTAAACAAAGAAGGGTTTATAGTCATATCATTTTCACAAACAATATCAAACAACCAAATATTAACTAATGTGGTAGAAGACATGATAGAAACGTGAGATCAAGATAATACTTAATTAAACAAAGTTTGAAGATTAGTAGTGAAATTTGTAATAACTTTAGAAGAAGACTCAGAAGCATTTGGTTTAGTGGTTGTTACCACAACAGTCTTGTTAGTATGAGGATTATGAATTAGACTATCATTATAATGATATTTAGCTCTAATTTCTAAACGAGATGATTAGTCCTCCCACATTGTGAACAAGACTTATAAAAAGTAAAGCTAGTACTTTTTTAGGAGCAGCAACAACAATAGTATCAACACTATGAGTTTGACTCATACCCAATCGAATTTCCTCAGATATTAATTCCATAAAAGCATTATCCATAGTTGGTAAGGGATGTCGGTACAAAAGTAAAGACTTGTTATTCTCAAATTCATCTCAAAGTACCATTAGAAATTAAATAAGATGAATTTGATTTCGATAAGTAATAAAATTACTAACATCACTTTTATCTTTGAATTTTGGCTCAGAATTTTCAAGCATGTCTCATAAATATTGCATTTTAAAATGAAAATCATTAATTGATTAAATTGGTTCTTAACGAAAGTGAGATAAAGTAGTCAAAATATTATATTGATGAATAAAGGTAATAAAGCTGTACCATGTGGCAAAAAATCCCAAGCATCTTTAGTAAGTTCAAATCGCCCAAAATGTACATTGATAGAAGAAATAGTGATGTTGGTGAACTATGTCAAAATTCGATGATTCTTATTTTCTCATTCCTCTAGTCAATCTGTAAATTTATCACTGGATTCTTCTTTTTTTCTTTCTGGTGCTTTGCGTTCTCTAGTAATAACAAGCTATAATTTTATTTCTTTTAGATAACTATACATAGCCGTAGCCTACCTATTGTAGTTATTTCCATCAAGGATAAAGAAAATTGGTTGTACATTTTTTCGTTGAATACCTGCCATCAAACTCTTAAAAAAATATAGATTTGAGAAGTTATGAGCATTGATATAAAATATAAATCTTAAAGATGGAAAGAGAAACCAAAAAATCGAAGTGCATAAGCAAAAAATAAAATTTAGAAAGGAGAATAAATCAATGATGAAAATAAGTAAATATTGATTATTCCAAAATGATTACCTTCGGAATGAATTATGAAATCACTCTTATACCATACAAAATGAGAAAATGATGAAAACTTTATTGTAATGACTTGTGTATTGGAATGAGGCTTAACGCTTATTTATACAGATGAAATATTATAAAATAAAAAATACAATCAATAGAAATAATGACTAAATCAATTCCTATAATAAACTAAATCAATATCTAATATTTTTTAAATTAATATCAAATCAATCTAGAACATTATTGAAATATTACTAAAATAATATCATCAATCTAAAATATTATCAGAATATTACTAGAATATAATTAACAGTAGTAAACAAAAAAAAAAATGGTTGCAATGATCATCCATGGTGGAATCCAACCTTAGGATCACTGAAAACAACCTTCATTTGGGCCTCCAAAAGGTTGGATGTAGTGAATCATAATTTAAAAAAAAAAAAAAAGACAAATCAATTAAAAAATAAAAAATAAACCAAAAAACACTTAAACTAACCAAAAAACAATTAATGCACCAATCATCCGTGGCAGAATCTAGCTTTAAGATCATCGAAAACAACTTCGATCTAGGTGATCCAAGCAAAAATCCTTTCTTTCTACCTGTCTCAATTTCTTCATTCTTCCTTCTCTTTTCTTTCTTTTCTCTTTTCACCCAATACTTACCCGTTTCTTATTTTATTTTTTAAAATAAAAGAAACAAAATGGTAGGTTTTTGACTTTCTTAACCCCTTTCTTTATTTTTCAATGTAAAGAACCAAAATTATGAGTTTTGCAAAACCATTTTTTAAGGGATAAAGAGAAAAATAAAAAAAAAATTATTATGGATAGATCCTAAAAACGAAAAACAATAGAAAGATAACAGAGATGATAGAAAAAGAAACGAAAAGAAAAACTAACAAATTGTTGATTTAATTGGTTAAGGCTCGTCCTTTTCGACGAATAGGTCTTGGCTTTGAATCCTGTCGATAGTCACTTGTTGGAGTTATCTCGAATGTACGACCTACAACCACCTATCTTAAGCTATTAGATACGGTACATTTTGCTCTGACCTAGGAAACTGACCAGCCTATTTATCCTTTTATATTTCTTACCAAAAAAAAATGAAAAGAAAAAGTTACAGCTTTTCTTCCTACCTATCTCGTCTGCATCGTCCCTCTAAATTTTTTTTCATCAATAGAGAAATTAAAATCATTTTATACAAAATTGAAAAAAAAAAAAAAGCTGTCTTCGTCACAAGCATATAATGATGTAAATTTCAAAAAAAAAAATGAATGTACATCAATAAAAATTAATAAATTATATTTATTAATAAATATAAAAAATGTATAATTGCAAAATTTTTGTTTTTATAATATTTTAGACAATAAATTTTGTAATGAATAATAATGCATATATTTCAAAATTAAAAAAATAAATTTTGTTGATATCAACATAATTTAATATCATTGTACATATATGTTTTTTACAATATAAATATATTTTATTTGTACGTATATATGATAATTATTGTAGTCGTCATGAGACATCATTGAACATTAGGATCATAAATATGAATTCTATTTCTTCTTTACTACTTTAACAAGTTGTCTTTTTTTATTTTATTAATTATTTTTTTACTTTGACACAAAATAACAACAATTTTTATTAAACTATTATTTTTTTAAAGTTTTCCACAAATAAAGTTTTACAAAAACAAAGAAGAATTACAAAATTGTTGTATGGATGGACAGATATTATATGGTAAATTTATAAATTTTATTAATTATATATAATATATTTTTTCTATACATATCATAATTTTATAACTAATTAAATATTAAAATAAAAAAGCAATTACATTTTCTTTTCTCAATTTTAAAATTAATATTTTCTATAATTGTTAAATAATTTCATTATAATATCCTAATTCGTAATTTTTTGAAGAAAAGAGATTAACATGACACATGGGGCCACTACCAATTAAATTAAAAAAGAAAATAAAAGAAGTGTTACGTTAGCAATTTTTTTTTAGAAATCTAAAATTTTAAATGTATTAATTTTATTTTAAAAAAAACCTAAATAAAGGTAAAATGCAAAAAAAAAAAAAAAGGAAGATACAATGGGATAAATTAAGGGGGCGTATGGGAGAAAACTAATAATGTTTTATTTTGTATTGACATGATAGCTAAAGAAAGAAAAAAAAAAAAAAAAGAAGCAAGATGAAATAAAAAAAAAAAAGGAAAATATAAGCATTTTTAAGAGAACGCATCACATGTTCATGGGAAAGTCAAAATGAGTAAGATAAATATTATGGGTGGATTTGTTGTAGATGCAGCAGAGTTCATCCGATGAACAAGGAAACAAAAATATATATATGAGAAAATATTTTATTAGTGTAATTTTATATTTTATTTTATTTTATTTTTGGATCAAAATTAAATTCATAATTCATTTAAATCAAAATAATATCTTTAAATTTAATAATTTTGATCCAAGACTTCAAAAAAAAAAGGCAAAAATTATATTCATATAAGTGGATGACTTCTATATCTATATATATATATATATAAATGACAAAGCTTATGGCCTCCAAGGAGCAGGGGGGGGCGGACTTGTAGGATAGAGAGGTGGAACCGCGGAAAAGATGGAATTCTTGTCAATGCCCTGGCCACCACTGCTCGTCAGAGAAGCAAGTGCAGCTATCAATCCGGCGTTACCAGCCATTGTTGGCTCAGTGTAGTTATAATTGGTTCGAACATCTCTGAAATTGTCAAAGCGATCAGGGCCGCCGACCATGGCTCCTGTAATGTTGTTAGGATTGGCATTTCGGATATCACGCCACTTCCATCCGCCTGTGCATGAGTACTTGATGTTGTTGTGGGGTATTGATGTGCCACGGTGATGAACATGTGTAGGGAACTTTTGACCGTATCCCACCACATAGCTCATTTTCATGGGGTTTTTACCCAAAATGTAGTCTACCTAAAGAAATAAAAGGACAATGTTCTGTTAAAGAATTAAAAGAAAATTAAGGACAATGTTCCCTCTTCAGCTTGTAGGGTAGATGCATGGTCAACTTGGTTAGCAGTTTCTTTCCCAGATCAATCAATCCTTACCATTATTTGTTTTATCTTATCATCGTTCAATCAAACGGTGCCCAGCTAATCTATATGTATATGTATATGTATATATATATATTCACATTAAGACAAGATGATATTATTTATTCCTTGTCTCATAGTTATGGCTTTGTTTTGTTTGCATACTTTTAATTCTTCTACAGTAATATTTTATTTTAAAAGTTCAAAGATTTTGCTTTTTACTTTTTTTTTATTATCTTTAACTATTAAAATTGTCCTTTTTTTGACAAATTAAAGATAATTCAAAAAAGAAAATCTATAACATATCAATAAAACTATTGTCAAATTAAAATCAAACACAATATATAAAATGAATGAAATAATAATAATAATAATAATAATAATAATAATAATAATAATAATAATGAACTTTAAGCATATGTGAAAGTTAACCCCAAGTTAAGAATCATTTCAATTCATCCAAATTCAAATTTGGTCCAATTTTATTTGATTAAAAAATATCAACAATTAAATTTTGAAATGATTCAAAATTGAATTAATTTGAATATAAATGATTTGCATCAAAATGATCCAAAATAATAATTCAAAAGGATTATAAATTAAATTTATTTGCCTCTTAAATTTAACAACTTAGACATAAAATATATCTAAATTTATAATCCGAACTCAAATAATCCAAATATCGAATTAAGAAAACGCTAACTTGAAATGATGTAACATTAAATTATTCATTTTGAAACCGGACTGAACTCATGACAAGTTTAACAATTTTCCACTTATTCACATTTAAAAAAGCACAAGGGCAGAGCAAGTAGTTACCTGGGAGGTTGCAAAATCCCGAAGAGACTCTGATCGGAAAAACTGAGAACCACAATTCCACCCCGGCACACCGGTCGCATTTAAATAATCAGCAAAGAGATTTGCTAAGAAAGCAGCATTAGCCACATACTGAAGAGGCTGGGGCTTTCCAGAGTTCAGTTGGATCATTCCTCCTGCAAGGTGCATGGCACATGAGAAACTTTAAGAATGCATAGCTGAAAGAATTATTTGTTGATGGTTTTTGAGGGACACAAGTTGACATATACCTCGAGTCCAGTTAAAGTAATGGAATTCTTTAAGATAAGAACACATGTTGAGAGCCGTGACGTTGTGATACATTTGCAACATGTCCTCGTAAGGGTAGCCTGGATTCAAAAATATCCTGTACCTTGTTAACAACAACATGGCTGCTGGTAATTTGTTATCCCAGCTGAGTACCCTGTTTGATGGAATATCGTAAAGTGCCTTGGAGTTCTTAGACAAGCCCGGGTTCGTTGCCAATGAAATATAGCTAACATTTCCGGTGGCATAGTACAACCAGGCAGAACCCCACATGTACTCATCGTAGTAGCCAGTGGAATTATAATAGGGTTCGATGTAAGGATTCCCTCGAGAGTAAGGTCTTCGTTTGCCTCCATCCCTGGCAAAGGCAAACACAGTTTGAGCACCTTTAATGAGCTTCCTGGAGTAATCATCATTGTCACGGAATACTATTGACGCTGCTGCTAAAGCTGCTGCCATTTCTCCGGCTAGGTCCGGCGCCGAAAATGCAATTTGGACAGGCCGTTTATAGTCCATGTCTTCTGGTCTCATCCAGCAGTAATGGTCATCTGGTGTTGTTGAACCATTCAGAGCTCCGCCAACCTAGAACCGCAGGAATTATATATGGATCATCGATCAGTTAATTAAACAAAAATTTGTCAACCTACTAGCTACTATGTGGACGTGTGAGCAGCAAGAGACCGTGGTAGAAAAAGAAAATCTGTACCTGGCAGTATATTTTATCGATTTTGGTGGCTGAGGAATTGAAGGTTAAGAGCAAATAATCTGTACCCCACTTGATGAGGTCTCGAATGTGATCGTATTCACCAATGGACTGGTATTTCTGGCTATATTCAATAAGACTCCAGCTAAGCATTGTCATGGAAAATGCCATGGGAAAATGGAACTTTATGTTGTCTCCAGCATCGTAATACCCTCCAACCAGTCCGCCCTTGAGGTCCGTCACTTCTTTGCCATCATCTAGCCCTGAATTTCCTCTCCAGTAAATGCCATTGTTCTTAGGCAATTTACCAGCTGCATGCATCAAACTAATGATTACAAATTACAATAATATTATCTTCTTTCAGATTTTAGAGCACAAAAGCTCAACTAATTAAAATGCATAATTATTCGGATGAAAAAAGTGTACAGTGTAAAACAAATTAAAGAAAAAGCATTTTAATTTTTTTTTTGTTTTTGTAAATGAAAATTCTGTCTCCTATATAACTATAAATAAATAAAAAAACTTAAATGAAGTTTTTTAAATGAAGTTTCTAAAACTTTTTTCAAAAATGATTCAATAAAAATTTTAATCTAAAATTTAAACTGAGAAGCTCTTATAAAATTTCAATTAGAAGATCAATAATATATGAAAAATATATTTGAAATATATTTTAAAATTCAAAATTGATTTGTAATTATTTAATGGTAAAAATTTATGAAAATTTTTAATAAAAATATCTATGAAAAAATATGTAAAAATTTTTTACATATTTGATTTATGTAATAAAATCTTTCAATTTATTATTTTAGATTTTAGATTTTAAGTTTTAATTTTTTATTTAATTATTTTAATAAAAAATTTTAAAATTAAATAATTTCACCTAACTTTTTTCTTAATAGAACAATCTCTAGGAGATTGTTTGCTTGGTATTTGTCCATCCTTCAATAAATGACAATTGGTTTTCTGTGATTGATTATGCTGATATAGTGAGATGGTGAATGGGTTATGTATTTGTTCAAGGATGCTTCTTGAGCCATCGAATGGGCTATGTTGGGCGGGTAAAGCCCATTAAAAAATTAACTCGGGCTAATGAGTTATGTCAGTCTAAAATTATTTTTTTATTTTTTAAATTATTTTTCAAATTAATATATAAAATTAATAGGTAAAACACATAATTCATAATTTATATTATTCGATAAATATTTATGTTTATAAGTAAATATTAAAAAAATTTATCAAAATAATATATGAAAATTAACAAATACTAAAATTACATCTTTAAATTAAAAAAAAAAAACAAATATAGATGTCACATTATTAGTTTATTTCTTATTTTCACCATATGGTGATTCATTTACATCATAATAATCACATTATCAAATTATAATCACATAATTAACCAGAAAAAATATAACTAAAACAAAAATAAAATGAAAAAAAAATCCTAAATAAAAATAAATTGAAAAATAAAATAAAAATTTAAGAAATTTGTGAATATGGACTTTTAAATATTTTTCAAAAAAATTGTATCCCAAAAAATAAGAAAAATTAAATTAAAAATATTGAAAAATTTATATTTGCTTGTTTTGTAATTAGACAAATTTTCAACCACCACAAACCAACATAAGTCACCATATAAAAAACCTTAAATTTAAGATTTTGAAAACTCTTTTCTTTCCTTTAAATATTAAAAATCTCAAAAACCTAAGAATTCTAGAACAAATGAGAAGAAATTAGCAAGATTTTTTAATTTTATTGGGCTTTTTTCGTGGCTTGATTTTTTAAAAAAAAATGAAAGAATGATTTGAAAAAAAAGAAAATTGGAAAGAGCTTTAAGGAATGAGAAAGCAAGAAAAGGATAGGCACGGGAACGGTGACAAAAGAGAAATTGAAGAGAGGAGGCAAGGGTTTTTTTTTTTTTTGGAGAGAACAAGGAGCAACAGTGGAGAGAGAAAATGAAGGGGCAAACATTAAAAAAAAAAAAAAAAAAAGAGGCGGGCTAGACTTGGATCTTGAAATTGGGTTAAAACTTAAAACCAATTGTACTTGAAATACTTAACCCACTATTTTTTTTTTTTACTTATTTAATTTTGTTCATGAATTAAATTTATAAAATTATTTTAGAAAATAAAGAACAGTCAAAATTATTAAATAATAATTTTTTTAAAATGTCAATAATAATAAAAATTATGGAAATAAAATTTTAATTCAATATCTGTTAAGTCCTGTAAAAATAAATATTTAAAAATAATATAAATATCAAATTATCAATTACTCTATCCAATACATTTAGGTTATGTAGCTGATGAATAATTACTTTCAATGTATTTGATTTTTTAATGAAAAATATATAACTATATTAATATTAGAATATATTAAGGCATACAAAAAATAAATTTATTCAATAATAAATCTATTTAAATAAAAAAATTCACTCTCACAACTACATGCGAATTAAAAAAGATTATTTAATTTTTACCCAAGACTTTTTATAACTGCAAATTTTGAGATTTTATTTCGTTGTGTGATCTAATTAGTTTTAAAATTATCTTAATTATAATTAAATTATATTTTAGTTAAGTTATATTATAATTCAATTACTTATTAAATGTTTTAAACCTATCTTTAATTCAATTATGTATTAAATTTAAAATGAATGTATTAAACTATCTTTAGTTAAAATAAATTAATTACCATTATTTAAAAAAAAGAAAAGTTTAGTGATAAAGAAATTGGTTAATTAAAAAAATGTAAAAGAAAGGAGAAAATAAGATATTTTTAGTATTTGAAGTAAAACTTTAACAAATATTAACTTGATTAATGAAATCTTAAAACTAGTTCAGTTTTCAAGAAAGATAAAGGAGTGTTTTCAAAATAATAGTGGTAATTCTTTTCAAGACAATTAATTTCCATAATTAATATACACAATTTAATACATAATTAAACTATAGTTTAACCTAATTAAAATTTCATTGGATAGTAATTAAATATGATATTAAAACTAATTCAATCTTTTAACCATATTTATAACTAATTAAATCTCACATCTTTGAACTTAAAAATAAGAAAACATTAAACGAAAGAAAATAGAAAAGAGACAATAAAAAGAAAGAGAAAAATAATAAAATATAGAAGAGTTAATATAATAAATGACTCTTGAATTATAGTAAAATATTAAATGTGATATCTAAATTTAAAAATTTTTTATGTGATAGTTGAGTTATAAATTTTTTAATTAATATAGTATTTAAATTATGAATCTGTTAATTAATGTGATATTTAGAGAGTTTTTGTCTATCGCATATTATATTTGGAACTAAACACGTTAGAGGTTAGTATTGTATTAATTAATTAATAGTTTAATAGTTTAAATGTCATATTAGAGATTTATAAAATTCATATATCACATTAAATATTTTAATATAGCTTAAAGGTCATATATGATATTAACCGAACATGGAAAGAACAAATAAATGATGAAGGAGTATTCTTGTATTTTGGTTTAAATATTTAATTTTTATTTAAATTATATTTTAACTAATTAAAATTTAATTTGATAGAAATTAAAAATAATTTTAAAACTAATTAAATCTTACAAATAAATAAAGTTAAAAATTTTTTAGTTAAAAATTGTTTAGAAAAGAGAAAAAAACAAAAATAAATAATTAACGAAATATATATTTTTGCCTTTTCATTTAAAATTAATAATTAATAATATTTATGTTTTGTTTTTTTTCATTTAAAATTAATAATTAATGAAAAAAATTCTAAATGCATGCATGTAACTATATGAAAAAAATTATTTAAATAAATGATTAAAAAATTAGTTTAATCATAATAATTTAAAAATGTAGGCCAAAAAATATAATTCATAAATGCATAAAGAAACAGTTATTATCAGATAAATGATGATATTCAAATTAATAAAAAAATTAGTAAAAAATATTAATAAATAATGTTCAATTAAAGTAATTAGAAACGTCTATTATAAATAAATGAAAATTAATAATGTATGAAGAAAATTAAACTAATTAATTTTTTGAATTCTTTTTGGAGCGAAAAGAATCAAACCTGTTTTTTTTTCTTTTAATTTTGATTGTTTATAAAAATTTCAACCATTTAGTTTATTGTCTTTTATAGTTCTATTTTTACCATATTCAATATTAAATTCTATTTATTAAAAACCAAACAAAAACCCAACGCGGAACATCCAACACATTAGGATGATCAAAACATTATTTTGAACCTTCTTTGTTAAATGGTGTGAGATTTGTAGGGATATTGACTGTGATCAAATGGCACAATCACCCATAGGAATAAGAGAGGGGCATAAAACAGGATTATATTCCAGCCGGCGAATTCAGTTATACATATTTCTTTTATTTGTTTTTGTTGATTAGCAAAACTGATGGACCCACACGGAGTTTTACTACCTAACTAATACAGAATCATATACGTGTGAACCGAACTCCATCAACAATGCCAAATCATAGACGACAACATCCAAGTTACATTATTATTAAAATTTAGCCAATATCTACATTAGTGAGATATTTAGAATTTTGGTTCATATTTGAAAGAGAAGTGGCGTGTAATTGGATTTGGAAGGGATAATTGGGTGTTATTCATTTTTTTAGTGGGCCAGCTTAGACTTTGTGTTGGAAAAAGTGGGGCATTATATCATGATTTCGGGAAATTTTGGGTCTTAAACTGATTAAATGGTATTAAGGGTTGGCCGAAAAGGAAAAAAGGTATTAAGGGAGAATTGTGGCCTAGAATATGTATAATTTATTATCTAGTTAACATAAGAAAATGATAATGGGTGAAAGTAACTGACAACAACAAACGATACAAATAAACTAAATATATATATGTGTGTGTGTGTGTGAAATTGAGGAAAAAATTTGCAGCAATAATTTAGGCTGGATTGTTGTTTGACATTCTACGTTGTTATACATCTTGGGAAATTAATGGGATAGTTCTAGGAAATTGGGTGTAGGAAGAAGAGAAAGACTTACATTTCTGGGCGTTGAAGAAAAGAAGTGCCTTGTGAAGAGCAAGGGTGTAATTATCGGGAAGGGGAGGGCGAGGCTTGTGCTTGGGCAATGACTTGGCGATGATGATGGGAACTCCGATCACAAGAAACGCCAAGAAAATTGAGATGAGGGTCCACTTGACGGCCTTGCGGCTACAAACGATGCAACCAAAGTCCACGTACTGGTTCTTCTTCTTGGTTTGCTGAGGCTCCAACAGCCAGCTCTGCTGGGTCTCATCCAGACACCGGTATTGCTGCTGAGAGTGGAGGGCTGCCCTGTCCCAGTCCGTGTTCTCTGTTGTTGATGCTTCTTCATTATTGTTTATCTCAAATGAACCACCCCAGTGATTCCTGGCTTGCATACTTGTCTCTTTGCTCTTTTCTCTACAAATATGTACAAGATTGATTGGTTTAGATATGTGTATATAGCTGGATCAATCAGTTTATGGGAAAAGAAACGTAGATCAATCAATTTGCAGGTTAGAAGTCATGGCACAAGAGAAAGAGAGAGAGAGAGAGAGATGAAGGGAATAGAATTCAGAGACAATGGAACAGGACTTTCTGAGGGAGAAATTCAATAAATAAACTTCCATTCATTACCTTTTTATTTTGTTAGAGAGAGAGAGAGAGAGAGGGAGAGTTGACTTAGTAGAAATTGATTTTTTTTTTCCGGATAGCAACCTTTTTGCTAACTCGTTTCTTTCTTTATTTTAGATTCATCACCAAATTCGATGTGTTTACATTATAATTTATTATAAACAAAGTTGAAATCTAGTGAGCTCTTGATGGTGCCCATTTATTTTTCTTCTCTTCCATTGGAATTTAAAAGAGAAAACATGTGGTGATGACATTAATCGGTGAAAACATTAATTGGTGGAGATAAATTGATAAGTGGGGCAAGTCTTAACCTAATGGCCTGAAATGATTTGCTTTGACGGTTGATTCTTTATCTAACACGGATTCTAGATGCTCTTTTTGTAAATTGTTTTAAATATTTAAAAATTTGTGAAAATTTTTAATGTAAAAATCTTAAATTTGGAATTTATAGTAAAAGGAGTTATATTTGGTATGTCTTGCTAATTAACTATTAAATAAATTTTTAGATTTTTATTAAGAGATGTATGAATTTATGAGAGTTAAAAAAGTCAAATTATGTAGAGGTTTTTATATTTTGTGAAAATTTAATATTTAGTCCAGTAATATAATTTATATAAATTTAATTTTCGTATTATTTTGATTTAATAATTTTAGTCCAATCATAAATTTTATCAAATTTTTGTCATTAAAATACTTATATGATCGTTGACTTGATGATATAACTATTAACTTATTGATATGGCAATTAAAATAAATGAAAATTATACAAATTATCTTTATATTCGCACAAAATTTTAAGTTTAAATTTAAAATTTAATCTCTCTAAAATAAAAAATATTTTGCATTTTTATAAATATTTTAGTTTTTTAAAATATTAAATTTATTTTCTTCAATATTTTAATTTTTTTAATTTCTATTTTTGAAAGTTTTTTTTTTTCAAAATTTAATATTTTTATTTAACCAAAATATTTAATTTTATTTTTTTAACTTTTTTGGATTTTTATAAAATTTTCTATACTTTTTAACTATTGTATTTTTTTAGAAAATATTTATAATGTTTTATAAAAAGATTTATAAATTCTAAAAAAAAAATTATATGTTTTTTTTTTTTATCTTTTCAAGTGAAGAATAAATCAAAATAAGAAAGTCTTCATATTTAGCTATTTCTTTAATTTGCCCAGATTCTTATGCTCTTTCATCTTAAATATATCAAAGAAAATAAATTTTAAAAACTCGTGTCTTTTTTATAGTTTGTTTATTTATTAATTATTTTCATTTAGATATTAAAAAAATATAAAAAATCGAAATAACATAAAAATATTTTTTAAAAATTGAAAATTTTATAAAACTTCTAAAAAGTTAAAAACAAAAAATTAAATATTTTGATTAAATAAAATGTTAAAATTTGAAAAATTAAAAAAAAATTTATTTAAAAAATAAAATATTGAAAAAAAGTACATTTAATATTTTGAAAAAAATTAGAAATTTTCTAAAAAAATTAAAAAATTGAAAGTTTCTAGAAAATTTCTCTATATTAAAAAATTTTAAAAATACAAAAACTTTGAAAAATAAAATTAAAATATTAAAAATAACAAAAAAGTAAAATTAATATTTTTAAAACACTAAAAATTTTCTAAAAAATTCAAAATACTTTTTATATTAAAGAGACTAAATTTCAAATTTCTTACAAATATAAAAATTAAATTTCAAATTTCATATAAATATAATAACAATTTACATAATTTAACAATTAATTTTATTTATCCAAGTTATTACGTCAGTAAATCAATGCTACATATCAATTCAATAGTCACATCATTGTTTTTAATAACAAAAAATTGACGAAATCAATGATTAGATTAACATTATCAAATTAAAATATTATAATGATTAAATTTGTATAAATTACAATATAAGATTAAATTTCAAATTTTCACAAAATAAGAAATCTCTAGCATAATTTAACTAACTAAAAATGATATGAAAGAAAATGTCAAATTAAAAGACGAAAGACATATATATAGGGGTAAGTCCACAGATAAAATACAAAAAAAAAAAATTGTCCACTAATAAATTATTAATATTAAATTTTAAATAATATTGATTGAAGCTCGAACCTTAAGGCTTTACTTGATAAGAAAAATATAAATGGATTAGAATAAAAAATTTGTTAATTTAATCATTAAAGTTCATAATAATTTTTTTACTTTATAACTTAATCATTAAATTAAAAAATTTTCATCATCACCCATTTTTCATCTTTTTTACCAAACAAAGTCTAAAGCAATGGTATCTATTTCTGTTTTTTTTTTTTTTTTTGCAAGCCTAGGGTTCAACCCAATGGGTGCATCCTACCTACCACCTTAAAAAGTTTGTCATTATAAAAACGCAATTTGAACAAGAATCCATGTGAATTATTATTTGAATTTAAGAATGTTCAAATGATTTTACAGTTGGTTTGTTGGAATGTTTTGTTTTTTCCAAAAAATGTTGTAAAGTGGTTTGAACAACTATATGTAAGCTGTCATGCTAATTTTTGTTGATTTTATTTTGATTAAAGTAATCAATGAGCATTTGATGTTAGCTGTCCGTTGAAAACACCAGATCAAACCTAGAGAAGGAAGGAAGCCAGGGCCACGCTAAAGTCAGCTGTTCTCCAATAATTTCTAATAAACGTAGCTTTTTTTTTTTTTAAGATATTTCATTTGTTGCGGTTGATTATTCACTTTCACCATTTTTTTTTTTTTTGACGTAACGTCTTCACGAATTTTTACTACCGTAAAAGTTCGGGAAGAGTTTACTATCATTAATCATCCATTTTGACGGAGGATAGCTTTAGTTGTAGCCAATGTAATCTCCACCCTTCATCTTGAATTTGCTAATTCACCAAAGTGGCTTATGAATTTAAAATCTCACAAGTACAGTTTTATTATTATTATTTTTATGGTAAAACAGTAAATCTTCATTACTCAGAAATAGCATCAACATTAAGTGTAGAGCCTGGTGGGTGTTCCCACACCAAAACCTGACCCACTGAATAACCTAGTCTAGCAATATTGTGAGCTAAATTGTTAGCAGCTCTTTTGGTACAAGTAAAAGAACAAAGTCTAAATTGTGCAGCTACTCTCGAGACCTCCAGAGTTTTGCATTAGCCATCCCAATTTGACTCCTTTCCCTTAAAAATCCCCTGGATCGCTAGCACCGCATCTGTTTCTGCCTCTACTCCTTCAAACCCTTTATCCCTAATTATACCAACTTCGAACAGGACTGTATGCATCATCATCATTTTAATATAAAATTTAAGCAATTCGTGATCTATGACGTCCCTGATAAAAGGAGACCACAAATAATTTCACAATGTAAATCACAAGTAACTTTAATAATATCATAGCGCAGCTACATTTGTCTCTACAAATACATGAAAATGCTAACGGGATTATATCCTTCAGTTAAAATTACGAGATTAATCTTTGTATTCATTCAAAAATAATAATTTAATGAATCAAAGCTTAATTTAATTAATTCATATAATTATTTTAAAAATATATAATAAATTTTAATTTTAATTTTAATTTTAAAATTTACAGTCACTTCCCTAGTCTTAAACCCGCTGTAAAAAAAAAAAAATTAATCTTTATATTTTTTAAGATATAAAATATCAGTCCAAAAACTACCAGATTTACAACATCACAGTTAAGTTGTTGACGTAATCATTTTTTCGCCTGTGGGCTGCTGACATTGCTTTCTCTGATTATATAAATTATTAGTTTTCTCTGATTATATAAATTATTAGATTTCTTTTGTTATACAAATTGAATTTTAACTTTGCATAGTTTTAATGTTTAAGGACTTAGAATAAGATAATTTTCATAATTTTTTAATTAGAAAAAAAATATGCCTTGATTCATAATAAATTCTATATAAATGTTTTATGAAATTTTATTTCTTTCTGTCGACTTCTTTTATCTTTGCACACATTTTTTATGAATAAAATATGATCAATTTATAGACAAAATGAATGAAGCAACTTTTTTATCCTTTTTAATGGTATTCAATTCATACATTCATCATCGTATGAATTATAAACAAAATTTTCTTTTGTTTTAATTATATTCATTAATTATTTCATAAAAAAAAAAAAAAAACTCACATTGTCTTTATTGATCAAAAGGATCTTTAACATATAATAATTATTAAATAATTAATATCTTTTAAACAAATAAAAGATATTTACTTAAATTAGAAAACAGTCATGTAGGTCACATAATATTTAACATTTTATCACTTGTCCTATGTGGAATTATTCAACTTTAAGGTTTAATAATAAACATAATGTGTAAATTATAGGCTAGGTTTTTTTAAAAAAATTAATTAAATCATAAATTATTATTAAGCAAAAACTAATAAAAATTATAGCAATTGTATGTCATTAGCTCAACATGGTCCCTTTCATGTATGATAATATTAGTTATATAATTAACATGATCTATAATGAGAAATATCATAATTTTCAACAATAATGTCTTTGTTAAAAACAAATTCTATTCATATTCATATAATTCAATCATGTATTTATTCTAACTTAATATAACATGATATATTATTATGTCAGAAACATTACTTAAAAGAGCTTAGAGTATCAAAGTCTAAATGAATAAAAATTTACCATAATGTCAATAATTGTTTTCAATAATACCCATTCTTTTGACATATTCATTAAATGTATTTGGTGACAAACTTTTTGTTAACGAATCCATAACCATAAGATTAGTGCTAATGTGTTCAATTGAGACTCTTTGTTTCTGAGCTTTTTCTTTAAAGGCAAAGTATTTAAATTTCATATGTTTAGCACTTTTCAAATACTTTTCATTTTTAGAAAAAAAAAATGCTATGGTATTATCATAATAAATTTTCAGCGGCTTGGCAATACTGTCGACAATTCCAAGTCCTGAAATAAAGTTTTGTAGCCATAAAACTATGAACGATGTCATTAAAGCATGCCACAAACTCAACTTTCATAGTAGATGC